GAGGGAGGTCTTCCTGTCCCCTTCTGCCACCAGCCCCTCCCAGCCCTGGATTTCATACCCCGGCTTCCTAGCCCACAAAACACCTCCCACTAGTCCCCCACAAGGATGTTGCCGGAGCAGAGGGATTTCCAGGTACCTTGAGAATTTGGATAGTTAATTCCCGCTCCCCCCTCCCACACACACACTTCCTTTCTGATTCTCATGTGAGCCGTGATTTCCCACATCCCTAAGTCATTACAGGGTTGTTTGCACTCAGACACATTTCCCTTGTGAGCAAGTCCTATGAGAAAATGTATTTTTGGGGGGAGATATTTCCCCAGAGAGCTGCAGAGAGGAGGACTTAAATACCTTCCATAGCACTGGTTCATGTGTACCTGGGGGAAACACTGCCAAGCAATGAGATCCATGCTGTTCTCAGGCGTTCCTTGGAAAACACACAGAAAGGAGGGCAGAGACCAATGTGCCTCGGGTCGGCAGCTGGCAAAGAGGAAGAATTAGAGAAAAACAGAGCAGATAAAGAAATGAATGGGGAGAGGAAAGGCCTGAGAAGTGATGAAAACAGGTCTGATTTGTACGAGAGGGAAATATGAAGAGAAAACTAGATAGATAGAGAGAGAGAGAGAGAGAGAGAGAGAGAGAGAGAGAGGTGGTGTATGGGGATAGATAGCTAGAGGGGATGTATGGGGAGAGATAGATAGATAGATAGATAGATAAGATAGATAGTTAAGATAGATAGATAGATAGAAGGGATGTATGGGGATAGAAAGATGAATTTAAATGAATGGAGATGCCTTTCTCCTAGAACGGGAAGGGACCTTGAAAGGTCATCGAGTCCAGTCCCTTCCTTCACAGAAGACCAAATACCATCCCTGGGCAGAGATAGATAGATAGATAGAGGGGGTGTGTGGGGATGGATGGATGGATGGACGGATGGACGGATGGACGGACGGACTGCTCCTTAGGGAATATACTTATGGAAATTAATGATAGATATGCAGTATAATAGTAGCCTTAGACTTTGGACAGAAAACATGGATGAGGTGATACTTCTTGTAGAAACAACTACTGTTTGTGGGAGAGGTTTTTTTTAGCTCACACAGAGTTGTGCTATCGATATGGGACCATCCCCGAGTTTCTCACTGCTGAGGTGGAACAACTGGGGAGGCTCAGAAGTTCCTGGGTATTTCGAGACTCAAAGTGAATTGGCCCGTTGAGATCTCTCTAGTTATGGGAGGGGAGAGGAAAGGGACGGGAGGAAGCCGGGCGTGGAGTGGGGTTAGTTGGTTACAGATCGTTGGGATGAACGATAAATTCAGTCCCTGAGTTTTACTGTGTAGCCGTTCTCAGCTTTTGAAAGTGTTTGTGGGGCAGGTTTCATATAAGGACCAGGACCGAAAAGCAAGATACAGAGCAATCCGGTGTTTGCCTCTTGGCTCTCTGATGATGTTCTCTTTTATCTTTTTTTCTTGTCTTTTCTCCGTGAGGTAATTCAAGAGCATAGAGATTGTCCACTTGCCCCACGTAGCTGTGATTGGGGCATTTCATGCAGTGGATGAAATGTGCCACCTGTTGTGCGCCAAGATCCCAAAAGTTGTGTTGTTAGGAATGTTGCTAAGAGTAATATAGGAGGGACTTTTCCAGGCATATGGGTTTGAACAATGGTCTCCATTTGTAGTAGGGGAGGATGAAGTTGGGTACAAGCCATAGCTGATGGGTTAGTGTGTTGGTCTTAGAACAAGAAGCAATGGACTTTAACTACAGCAAGGGAGGTTTAGGTTGGACATTAGGAAAAACTTCCTACCTATCAGGATGGTTAAACACTGGAATAAATTGTCTAAGGAGGTTAAGGATTCTCCATTTCTGGAGATATCTAATAGCTGGTTGGACAGACATCCATGATGGTCTCCTGCCAGGAGGGCAGAGGTTTGGCGGTTACGACCTTTCAAGGTCCCTTCCCGTTCTAGTGGTCTATGATTCTTTGTCAAAGACACACCGGCTAATGATGAGTCCCATTTTTCGATTTGCCTTTGTTTTCCTCACCATTGCTGGGAAATTATGTGTTAAAGGAACCCAGCAAGCGAAACGGAGGCTATAAAATGTCTTACATTCTCAGACGCCAAGGAGAAAATTTTTTATCCCTCATCCTTGTAACATCCTTTTAGACATTTAAAAACTATCATATCCCTTCTTGGTCTTCTCTTTTCCAGACTAGGAAAACCCAATTCTTTCAGCCTTCCCTCCTTGGTCATGTCGGCTGCATCTACACTGGCAGGATTTTGCGCAAATACTTTTAAAGGAAATGTTTTTCTGTTAAAAGTATTTGCGCAAGGGAGTGTCTATACTGGCATGTGCCTTTGTGGAAAAGATTTGCTTTTGAGCAAAAGCATCCGTGCCAGTGTAGACGCTCTCTTGTGCAAGAAAGCTCTAATGGACATTTTAGCCATTGGGCTTTCTTGCGCAAGAAAATAACGTTGCTGTCTACAATGGCCCTCTTCTGCAAGAATACTTGGGGAAGAGGGCTTATCCCTGTGCGGAAGCGTCAGAGTATTTGCTCAAGAACCACTGATTTTGGACATTACAAAGTCAGTGTTCTTGCACAAATATTCACGGCCAGTGTAGACAGGCGGCAAGATTTTGCGCAAAAGCAACTGCCAATGTAGACACAGCCTTAATCTTTTAAGATAGATGCGGCATGGGGATAGTTGGATAGATAGATGGGGGTATGAGGATAGATACATAGATGGACGGATGGATGAATGGATGGATGCCATTTTGACTTGATTTCAAGCAGCAAACTAACTCATAGTTTTATTTTCAAGTCTCCAGATGAACTATGCTGAGGAGGAGAATGAGACCAAACACCTCTGTGACTGAATTCGTCCTGTTGGGCTTCTCTACTGACCCTGACGTGAGCTCTGCTTTATTCCTGGCGTTTCTGGGCGTTTACATCTTCATCGTGCTGGGTAACGTCCTCATCATTGTCGTCACCACAGTCGACCTGGCCCTTCACACCCCTATGTATTTCTTCCTCAGGATCTTGTCCTTCCTGGAGATCTGCTTCACCTCCGTCACCCTACCCAACGTGCTGGCCGAGATCCTCTCAGTGAGGAAAACCATGCCCTTTGCCGGCTGTGCCGTGCAGATGTATTTTTTCCTGTTCTTTGGTGTTACTGAGTGCTGCCTGCTCGCGTCGATGGCCTACGACTGCTACTGCGCCATCTGCAACCCGCTTCGCTACACGGCCTTCATGGATAGAAAAGTCTGCCTCCAACTGACAGGCGGGTCGTGGCTCTGTGGGATGGTGGTGGCCGTGGGACACACCGCCTTTGTCTTCACCCTTCCTTTCTGCGGGCCCAACGTGATCAACCACTTCTTCTGTGAGATCCAGCCGGTGCTGAAGCTGGTGTGCGGGGACACATACCTGATCGAGATCCAGATCGTTGTGGGGGCTGCACTTGTCCTTCTTCTGCCTTTCATGCTAACGCTGGGGTCCTACGTATGTATCATCTCCACCATCCTTCAGATTCGGTCCACTGAAGGCCGGCGCCGAGCCTTCTCCACCTGCTCCTCACACCTCACCGTGGTGACCTTGTTCTACGGGACAGCCCTCATCATGTATGTCCGTCCCAAGTCCAGCTTCTCCCCAGAGGTGAGCAAGATATTCGCTCTGTTCTACTCAGTGGTGATTCCGCTCTTGAACCCCATTATCTACAGCCTCAGGAACAAGGAGGTGAAAGATGCCTTGAGGAAAACAGGGACAAAGATATTTCATCCTCAAGATTAGCTGTTTTTCCTCTGACTGGACTATATCTGGGGACTATCTCATCTGCCAAGTGACTCTCTTTTGCTAACGAGCCCAATGGATACGTTAGATACTTGATACTTTTGGATACTAGGAGACTGAAAAGACTTTGCTATTATTTTTTCACCCTTAGATGATGTAGTTCACGTTTGTAGACCTTCGTAAATATGCTTTCCAAGGAATTTCAGATATCTCCCAAACAAGATCAACAACCATTCGCTCCCATTGGCCAATAAGTTCTAATTTGGAAATATCGCAATTCTTGACCATTCCTAATAAGATCACACATGTCTGAAGTCTAATTGCAAGTCTGCATTGCCGGGGACAGCTTCTTTATTGTGCTTTGAGCCGCAGATGTACAAGTATAATAATCAGAACATCTTTCCCCCCAGGAATGTGTTGTTTTTCAAGGATGCACAGTGTGACGAGGTTTCCAAATCCTTTTCACAATCCTCACTTGTACGTTCATGGAAGATCACAAAGCGTGGGATAGAATCATAGAGCACTTGAATGCGAAGGGACCTTGAGAGGTCATAAAGTCCAGTCCCCTGCCCTTCTGGCAGGACCAAGCACCGTCTACACCATCCCTAATAGATATCTATCCAACCGGCTCTTAAATATCTCCAGTGATGGAGATTCCACAACCTTCCTAGGCATAACGGTCTGGATTCCCTATACACTGAGTGGAGGGAGATAGACCCTAAATGGTGAGACCCATGAAACCAGGAAGTGTAGCAGGGATCAGAACCTGCTACAGACCCATAAAACCAGGCAGTGAAGCAGGCATCAGAGTCCTGCACCAGCCAAAATTTTAATGATGTGGAAGAAAACCTAAAATAATTATTGATAATATTTTCAAGTGACACACAATTAGAGGAGCGGAGAATAAGAAGAGGTTCCGTGTCAGATTCTCAGGGATCTGAAATCAGGCCATTTTCTTTTAGCAGTAGTTAAAGTGAAATGTGGATGTCGGGAAGCATAGAATATGGGTTATATTTATGGGAGAAGGGACTCTATCCTGGGAGACAGTAACACCGAAAAAGACTAGGGGGTCATAGTAGAAAATCAGTTTAACGAGAGCTCCCAATACAACACGGTGGCCAAAAGAGCTAACGGCATCTTGTGAGACCTAAATGGGGGATATTGTGCAAGAAGAGATATTATTTCATCGAGTCCAGCCCCCTACCTGAAGCAGGAACCAAACCCAACTCAATCCAGGGCTTTGCCAAGCTGGTACTTCTCAACCTCTAGGGATGGAGATTCCACCCCCTCCCTCGGGAACCCTTCCCAGTACTTCCCCACCCGCCTAGGGAAATCATTTGTAGACCTCCCCCACTGCAACGTGAGCCCATTGCTCCTCATTCTGCCACCTGCCCCCACTGAGAACAGCCTCTCCCCAGCTTCATTGGAACCGCCCTTCAGGGAGTTGATGGCTGCTCTCAAATCCCCCCTCACTCTTCTCTTCTGTAGACTAAACAAACCCAAATCCCTCAGCCTCTCCTCATAGGTCATGTGCTCCAGCCCCCGAATGATTTTAGTTGCCCTCCACTAGACCGTCTCCAATGCATCCACATCCTTTCTCTAATAGGGACGCAATACTACAGATTTGGCCTCACCAAAGCCTTACGGGTAGGTGGCTATGGAATGTTGACACCAACAAACAGAAGTGCCTACCACTTTAGGAGAATACCTGTGTAACATAAATCTGGGTTTTAGGCACCTAAAATGTCAGTTAGTCACCAAAAACTCTTAGGGTATGTCTACACTACACAGTTAGTTCGAACTAACGGACGTTAGTTCGAACTAACTTTAATAGGTGCTACACTAGCGCTCCGCTAGTTCAAATTTGAATCGAACTAGCGGAGCGCTTAGTTCGAACTAGGTAAACCTCATTTTACGAGGACTAACGCCTAGTTCGAACTAGCTAGTTCGAACTAGGCGTTAGTCCTCGTAAAATGAGGTTTACCTAGTTCGAACTAAGCGCTCCGCTAGTTCGATTCAAATTCGAACTAGCGGAGCGCTAGTGTAGCACCTATTAAAGTTACGTTAGTTCGAACTAACTTTGTAGTGTAGACATACCCAGAGAGATATATTTAGACATTTACTTTTGAAAATTTAAGAAGACCACATGGCTATGTCTACACAGCAGTGTTATTTCGGAATAACGTAAGTTAGTCCAAAATAACAAAGAGCGTGTCTACACTGCAAGCAACACTCTTTTTTTGTGTGTGTGTGGAAGAACAAACTGGACCTCGTCCACGATCTCCGCACTAGGCACAGGAAAGTGGCCGTCTAGGGCAGGAGAGCTGCCAGCCTGGCCACCCAGGACCAGGTGTGCATGAAAATCAAGGGGGTCCACTGAGACCCCCGACCCTGAGCCCTGAGCTTACAATGGCCGTACTGGGTCAGACCAAAGGTCCATCTAGCCCAGTAGCCTGTCTGCCAACAGCGGCCAACCCTAGGGACCCTGGAGGGGATGGACCGAAGACAATGACCAAGCCATTTGTCTCGTGCCATCCCTCTCCAGCCTTCCACAAACTTTGGGCAGGGACACCACTCCTACCCTCTGGCTAATAGGACTCCATGGACCCAACCTCCATGACTTGATCTCACTTCCCTTTAAACTCTGTTCTAGTTGTAGCCTTCACAGCCTCCTGCAGCAAGTTAACTGGTTAACTCTTTGCTTTGGGAAGAAGAACAACTTTCTCTTACTAGTTTCAAGCCTGCTACCCATTCCTTTCCTTTGGTGTCCTCTAGTCCTTCTTTATGGGAACTCAGGAAGAACTTTTCTGAATGCACCCTCTCCACCCAACCCCTGCTTTTAGAGACCTCTATCCTGTCCCCCCTCCGTCTCCTCTTTTCTAAGCTGAACAGTCCCAGTCTCTGTAGCCTTTCTTCATCTGGGACCTGTTCCCAACCCCTGATCATGTTAGTTGCCCTCCCCTCTCCCAGCCTTTCTCTTCCCCTCTCCCACCTCCTTTTCCCAGTCTCCCCCAGTTTTTTTTCAATAAAGACAGAGTCAATGTTGGAAGAAACGTTATCTTTATTTTGTACATCAATAAGAAGGGGGGCTAAGGAAGGGTAAGTGGAAGGAGGTGAGGGAGGAATGGGGTACGAGCCCCCGATGGGGAGGACTGGGCTGGCTCTGCGGGCTTCTGGGGGTGGAAGCTCTCCTGCAGCCCCCCAATTACTCCCTCTCCCCAGATGGCAGCCTGCGGCAAGTGCAGCCGGGCTGATGGCCGAGTGGTGTGATGTGCCCAGTGTGGGCACTCAGGGCACTCCAAGCCAGAACTTCTTTGCAAGCGGGGCACCCCTTAGAACTGTGTGTCCGGGGTGGGGGTCGGGACCCTTTAAGCGCAGCCCTCGGCTAGCCTGAGACAGCATCTCCATGCTCTAAGTCCTCCTTTTATGCCCTGCCGGCACTGCTTCCGGCCATCCTTAAGCCCTGTTCAGAGTCCACTCAATGTGGACTTGCTAGTTCGAACTAGCAAAACGCTAGTTCGAACTAGTTTTTAGTTCTAGACGCGTTAGTTCGAACTAGCTTAGTTCGAATTAACTAATTCGAACTAAGTTAGTTCGAACTAGCGCTGTAGTGTAGACGTACCCTTAGGGACTCCAGCCCTAACTCTTCCTCACAAGGAGAAAAAGTGTCTTGAGATGATGTTTTTACATTCCAATTGACTTGTCCTCAAAGCCAGAGAGTCAAAGATATTCAGGTCTTTTAGTGCCCAACTCTCAGTCAAGCCAATGGGAATTAGGAATGTCCAAACTTTGGTAAGCATGGGCCTGGCTATTTTAATCATTTTAATGAATGGGACTTGAGCTCGTAAGTCACTTTGAGTTGTACAAAATGATTTAGAGTAGGTGTTTTGTAGATAATTTTACCCCTGATCGAGTAGGACCAGGTTCTGCCAATCTTCTTCACCTTGAAAATAATGGGCCTTCTATCAACAAAGGAACAATTCCCTATTTTTAAGAATCTTCCCTTTGCCTGTGTTGATGTTCTCATTTGTTGAAAGCAACATGGGCTCAGTCCTATAATTGGGGTTTTCTGGCATTTTCCTTGAGTGCAAATTGCATGTATTCAGCGGCAATTTTCGGGCGGCATCTTGAGTCCAACCCTTTGGGTCCTTGCTTAGTTACAAGAAGTGAGATTTGAAAATGGGCCCATGGGATTTAGGAGCTAAGGGTTAGCAGGTTATGTGTCTCAAAGACACAAAACAATCATGGCCAATGGTCTACTCTATTGAGAGCATTAAATGTTGCTGCTAATTTGAAAGGAAGAAAAAGTATTCCCTTAACAATGATGTCATATCTTCATATAATGGACCCCGGGGGAGATATAAACAACCAAGCCCTTCAGCAAGCTGTTAAATATTCCTGTCCCAACCATGTCAAAACTCTTTCGTGATCACAGCGAGGAGATGAATGTGAGATCCAGACCAGGTGAGAAATTTCTTGATTTTTCAAGATTTACATTGACTTCAGTTCTGGGTCCTGCTGTGAGGGCAGGGGACTGGACTCAAAGACCTCTCAAGGTCCCTTCCCATTCTAGTGTTCAAGGATTCTATAATTTCTTGGGGTTCCCGCAAATGGCCTGAAATGACATGCATCTTATGAAGCCCCTCTTGTTTCTTGAACTGTTTTAGTTTCAAACCCCGATTTCAGTCCCACGTAACAGAAAACCATGAGTAACTCTGAGGCTGTTAATTGTCGAGCAGCCTGAAAACATTCCCACACACCCAATTTTCTGTCAGAAAGCAGTGTGTGAAGGGAAAGAAAACATTGTACATGGGACTGTGCCAATTTTGAAATACCATGGTCTATTCTTTTCCTTCCTGTTCTAGTCTAATCCAAATGATAGCATGGGATAGATTCTGAAAGACGAGAGCCTTACCTCTTCATTACACGGGCGTCATCTTATTGATTTCAATGAGTTATGCCAGGATGAATGGTGGTGTCAGTCTCTATTTGTGATTCACTTCAACTGAAAATAGAGACATGTCCCCCTAAATATCTAAAGAGGAACCCAGAGATTGGAGGGGGGGGCAAAATATTTATTCCTTTCAAATTGGGACTTTCACAAGGAAACCAGACACCCAATTTGGTCTCATTGAAGAGCAAGTCTCATGAAGAGTTATGCCAGGATGAATGGTGGTGTCAGTCTCTATTTGTGATTCACTTCAACTGAAAATAGAGACATGTCCCCCTAAATATCTAAAGAGGAACCCAGAGATTGGAGGGGGGGGCAAAATATTTATTCCTTTCAAATTGGGACTTTCACAAGGAAACCAGACACCCAATTTGGTCTCATTGAAGAGCAAGTCTCATGAAGGTAGAAGCACAGAATCCTAGAACATTAGAACTGGAAGGGACCTCGAGAGGTCATCGAGTCTAGTCTCATGCCCTCCTGGCAGGACAAAGCACCATCTAGACATCCCTGATAGATGTTTATTCAACCTACTCTTTAATATCTCCAATGAAGGAGAGTCCACAACTCTCTAGGCAATTTATTCCAGTGCTTTACTACCCAATCAGAGAGCTTTTCCTAATGTCCAACCTAAACCTCCCTTGCTGTAATTTAAGCCCATTGCTTAAATAAAATAAAATAAAATACCCACACAGCTGTAACTGTGTATTAGTTTGTATCTGGACCAATGCACTCTGTTGGAAACACCCCTCTTCTTAGTGTGGTTTGCAGTGTAGGTGGGGGCAGGAGAAAGGCCAAACATGAGGTCCTATGTCTTCAGTTTTATCCCCTGAGTTCATGAACCTGGAGTACAAAAGTCAAACACGGCAGCTGGGCAGAGCTGAACCCCCAACCAAGGTTGACCAATTCCTTTGCAATGGCCATACACGAGTTATTGAATGGTAGCTCACTTGCTTTGCAACAGCTGTACGTGGCTATTTTCCACCCGCCTGGGTGTGGGTTACTTTCCTTGCGGTTGTCTCTGGGACGCTAATATCTGGACAATTCCCCAACTCATAGTATGTTTTAGTGATAGCCCTAATACACCGCCTCATGAGCTCATATGCAGTACAGTGGTACATAGTTTGATAGAACAGTGGGGTTCAACTCTTCAGACACATTCCCATGCAGTTAGGTGGTACATCTATGACGGTAAAGAAATCTATGTTCTTGGCTGTTGTATATTGGCCAACCTTCTCGGATTATGCAGCATTCAAGCAGAGAATCTGCTAAAAGGGGATATATTACTTTAACACGCCTGCTCTGAGGGTGTGTCTATTTGAAATCACTAGCACTATTCCGAAACACCTTAGTCCGTGTCCTCACAACCGTCAGTTACTTTGAAACAGTGTCAAAATACCATCAAGTGGGAGGACTTCTTACTCTGATTCCTGTAACCCCCCTTGCACGAGGAGTAAGGGACGTCGGGAGAAGAGAGCGATATGACATACTGGGGGTGCTGTCTGCTCTGTAACCTGGGGTTCCCCTATGCTGTGATGTGATTCCCACCGACTCACCCACATGTGTATTGGCCCAGACACCTAGTCCTAGCCTGAGGAGATAACAAGGCTCTTTGCAGGAGGAAAGACAAAGGAAGGGAGGTGGAAGCGGCCACCTGGCTGGGGGGGCAGGGCCTAGGAGCTGGGCTGTCTTTGCTGGCAAAACATGAAGAGAGGAGACTACACTGAGTACTGGAGGTTGAGGGGGCAATGGACCCCCACTCCAAGGGGTGTAAGACTGCCTAGCCCTAACTCCTGTAGCCATATAACGTCTGTGCTGGGCTGTATCCTGGAGAAGCAATGAACCCCATTCTACTGGCTGGCGGAGTGTCATCTTACTATGGATGGGGGTCAACGATCGGGGGGTACCCGATACGCCGTCACAGGCTCTATTTCAAAATAAGTGCTGTGTAGCCGCATCGTATTTCAAAATAAGCTATTTCAACATAGATACGCAATAGACGTCGCTCAACTTGCCTAGCTTATTTCGAGTTAAGCCCTGCAATGTAAACGCACCCTAAGGATATACCTACGCTAGCCCTCTAGTTGGAACTAGGGAGGCTAATGTAAGCATTCGAACTTGCAAATGAATCCTGGGACTGAAATATCCCGGATTTCATTTGTAAGTTCGAATGCCTACATTACTCTCCCTAGTTCCAACTAGGGGTCTAGTGTAGACATACCCTAAGAGACTTGAATTCGGATTTTGACATTTATTGTCAACAGTGTAAATGCAGACACCACATTTCTGATCGGAGTCCTGGCTTACACAAGTACAGGCAGTCCCCGGGTTACGTACAAGATAGGGACTGTAGGTTTGTTTTTAAATTGATTTTGTATGTAAGTCGGAACTGGTACATATTGTAGGGGAAACTCTAGCCAAACATTTCTCCAGAGCTCAGTTTTATTCTCCCTCACTTAACTTCCCTCAGTCCTTTATTCTCAAGCTGAGGTGTCTGCTGAGAAAAGCCGCTCCACATCTCCCTAGTCTCCTGGGCGAAGGGCGGGGATCTAGCTTCGCGTCTCCCTGGTCTGCTGGGGGGAAGCAGCTAGTGCGAGGTTGCCTCACCCCCTTTGTAAGTAGGGATCCGATGTAAGTCGGATCCATGTAACCCGGGGACTGCCTGTATAATATCATGAACCAAAGGGTTTTTTTATTAATCTAATGCTAGTAGAAGAGTCGTACTTCCGCCGAGGCTAGGAACATAGGCCCAAAGGAAGCTGGTAGGACTGAGGGAAGAAATCAAACGCTTAAGTTTAGTGAAGCTACTCTAGATCGACACATAGGGTACGTCTAGACTACAGGCTTTTGTCGACAGATACTGTTGACAAAGCGTCTGTCAACAAAGAGCGTCTAGACAGTTCTGTCAACAAAGCAAGCCGCAGTGTAGATGCAATAATGCCTTCTGTCGACAGAACTCTATCAACAAAAGGCGTTATTCCTCATAGTATGAGGTTTACGACTGTCGACAAAACTGCCGAGTTCTGTTGATGTTATGTCGACAGAACTCAGCGGCAGTGTAGATGCAGGTATATTTTTTTAGAGAAAAGTCCATTTTTGTGGACAAAAGCCTGTAGTGTAGACACACCCATAGATAGCTGGGAATGCTTTGACTGGGAAAACCATATGGTGACTTGTCTACCTGGTGTGGAGATCTCTTTACACATCGGAGGAGCCAGTGGAAATGGTGCATGTAGGTACGCACGACATAGGGAAGGATAGAGTGAGGTCCTGGAAGCTGAATTTAGGTGGCACCACGACATAGGGAAGGATAGAGAGAAGTCCTGGAAGCTGAATTTAGGTGGCTAGGTAAGAGATTGAAATCCAGGATCTTCTCTGAGATACTTCTAGTTCAATGTGCAGGGCCAGATAGGCAGGTAGAACTTCAATTCCCTGAGATATTTCTAGTTCAACTAGGTCCAGATAGGCAGGTTTAACTAGATATTTCTAGTTCAACTAGAGCCAGATAGACAGGGCCAGATAGGCAGGTAGAACTTCAGGGGTTCAATGGGTGGATGAGACACCGGTTTAGGAGGAAGGATTTAAATATATTAGGAACTGGGGAACTAGATAGATAGATAGATACATGGATAGATAGATAAACTTTATTTAAAACTTTAAACTAAATACTTCTCTTTTTTTATTCTTAGGATGAAATATTCTGAGGGAGCAAATAAGACCTCCGTGACTGAGTTTGTCATCCTGGGCTTCTCTGACAACTCCGACATAAATCTCGTCTTGTTCTTGTTTTTTCTGTTCGTTTACATCCTCACCGTGCTGGGGAACTTCCTCCTCATCCTCATCATAGTTGTCGATCCAGCCCTTCACACCCCGACATCAATCTCGTCTTGTTCGTGTTTTTTCTGTTAGTTTACATCCTCACCGTGCTGGGTAACTTCCTCCTCATCCTCGTCATAGTTGTCGATCCAGCCCTTCACACACCCATGTATTACTTCCTCAGGAACTTGTCCTTCTTGGACGTCTGCTATGACCCAGCCCTTCACACCCCCATGTTTTTCTTCCTCAGGAACTTGTCCTTCTTGGACCTCTGCTACACCTCTGTCACCGTGCCCAAGATGTTGGCCAACCTCCTCTCGGACAGTAAGACCATCTCCTTTGCCAGTTGTGCCATGCAGATGTTTTTCTTTCTCTTTTTCGGCATTACCGAGTGCTTCCTGCTTGCCTCCATGGCCTACGATCGTTACAGCGCCATCTGCAACCCGCTGCGCTACACGGCCATCATGAATAAGAAAGTTTGCCTCCAGCTGATAGGTGGGTCATGGGTCTGCGGCACCGTGGCGGCCGTGGAGCACACATCCTTGCTCTTCACCCTTCCCTTCTGTGGGCCCAACACGATCAACCACTTCTTCTGTGACATCCAGGCAGTGCTAAAGTTGGTGTGCGGGAACACCTATTGGATTGAGATCCATATCATTCTGGGTGTTGGCTTCTTTCTCCTGATGCCTTTGTTAATGAGTCTGTTGTCCTACGTCGCTATCATCTCCACCTTGGGTACTGGCTTCTTCCTCCTGATGCCTTTGTTAATGAGTCTGTTGTCCTACGTCGCTATCATCTCCACCATCCTGAAAATCAAGACGGCCGAAGGCCGGCATCGGGCATTCTCCACCTGCTCCTCACACCTCATTGTGGTGACTTTGTGCTACGGGACGGCCCTCATCACCTACGCCCGCCCCAAATTCAGCTACGGCATGGGGGAAGTCAAGATTTTTTCCCTCTTCTATTCGGTGGGGATAGCTGTTTTAAACCCCATCATCTACAGCTTCCAGAACAAGGAGGTGAAAAATGCCTTGAGAAAAATACCCATTACGTTTTTTTAACCAGACCATCAAATCATAGAATCATAAAACACTAGAACTGAAGGGACCTTGAAAGTTCATCAAGTCCTGTCCCCGGCCCGCATGGCAGGACCAAGAACCATCTGGACCATCCCTGATAGATAGATCAGATAATTTCTTTTCAGTTCAATAAGACTCCAAGAAGTATCTTGGCTCCAAAAGTCTCTTCCTTAACTTCAGTACCTGCTAACCCGCATCCCTTTGGAAATACGGTGTTGGTAAAATTTACCCTCTTTTGTATTTCCATGATACTTTCTTTTCTTTCAATGTTTTAATTTAACCAAATAAACTGAGGAAACATTTTCACATTCAGGCTTTATTTAATTATGACTTGAATCCTCTTACAGCCAGAGAATCTGTTAATATTTAAGGGGGATAAATCCAAAATACAAATTAAAATAACCAAATGCATTTAAATGTCTTGTCGCCTGCCAACTTTTGTTGCAGCCAGTCGAATTTCAAAATGTTTCAGGGTTTTATAGAAAAGGGCCCTTCCGCGGTTGACTTTCTCTGAAGTTCCCAGATGCGGTCTTTGAAGAACAGCAGATGGAAATGGGTGTAGGTAAAACGAACTCCCAAATGTTTTACATTATTTTGGATAACAAGGCATGTTTCCATCACCATCACATTTCGTGTCAACCGTGACTCTTTGTCTTACAGGTCGTTCGACTTGGGCTTCTTGGATGGGGAACTCACCACAGATACAGATGGTTTGAAAGCACAGCTGTGACACACCTGGAAGGCCAGCACCTTGGGAAAGGCTGGCATTTTGACATGTGTTTTCCTTCCAAAGGAGGATAGAAAACATTTGACATTTTTCACAGGTTTGAAATTCTGGGAAAAAAAATAAATTGGTTTGGAATCACAGAATCCTAGGGCTGGAAGAGACCTCAGAAGTCATCCAGTCCAGTCCACTGCCTAAAGCAGGACCATCCCCAACTCAATCATCCCAGCAAGGGCTTGGTCAAGCTGGGAATTAAATACCTCTAGGGATGGAGATTCCACCCCCTCCCTAGGGAACCCATCCCAGTACTTCCCCACCCTCCTAAGAAAATCGTTTCTCCTGATATCCAACCTAGACCTCCCCCACTGCAATGTGAGCCCATTGCTCCTCGTTCTGCCATCTACCCCCACTGAGACCAACCTCTCTCCAGCCTCTTTGGAACCCCCCTTCAGGAAGTTGAAGGCTGCTCTCAAATCCCCCCTCGCTCTTCTCTTCTGTAGACTAAACAAACCCAAATCCCTCAGCCTCTCCTCATAGGACATGTGCTCCAGCCCTTGAATCATTTTGGTTGCCCTCCACTAGACCTTCTCCAATGCGTCCACATCCTTTCTCTAATAGGGATGCAATACTCCAGATTTGGCCTCACCAAAGCCTTATGGGTAGGTGGCTACAGAATGTTGACACCAACAAACAGAAGTGCCTACCACTTTAGGCGAATACCTGTGTAAAATAAATCTGGGTTTTAGGCACCAAAAGCTCTTAGGACTCCAGCCCTAACTCTTCCCCACAGGGAGAAAAAGGGTCTTGAAATGATGTTTTCACGTTCCAGTTGACTCATCTTAAAGACCAGAGAGTCAAAGATATTCAGGTCATTTAGTGCCCAACTCTCAGTCAAGCCAATGGGAATTAGGAATGTCCAAACGTAGGTAAGCCTGGGCCTGGCTATTTTAATCATTTTAATGAATGGGACTTGAGCTCGTAAGTCACTTTGAGTTGTACAAAATGATTTAGAGTAGGTGTTTTGTAGATAATTTTACCCCTGATCGAGTAGGACCAGGTTCTGCCAATCTTCTTCACCTTGAAAATAATGGGCCTTCTATCAACAAAGGAACAATTCCCTATTTTTAAGAATCTTCCCTTTGCCTGTGTTGATGTTCTCATTTGTTGAAAGCAACATGGGCTCAGTCCTATAATTGGGGTTTTCTGGCATTTTCCTTGAGTGCAAATTGCATGTATTCAGCGGCAATTTTCGGGCGGCATCTTGAGTCCAACCCTTTGGGTCCTTGCTTAGTTACAAGAAGTGACATTTGGAATTGTGGCCATGGGATTAAGGAGCTGAGAGCTAGCAGGTTATGTGTCCCAAAGACACAAAACAATCACGGCCAATGGTCTCCTCTATTGAGAGCATTAAATGTTGCCGCTAATTTGAAAGGAAGAAAAAGTTTTCCCTTAACAATTATGTCATGTCTTCATATAATGGACCCCGGGGGAGATATAAAGAACCAGGCGATTCAGGAAGCTGTTAAATATTCCTGTCCCAACCATGACAAAACTCTTTCGTGATCACAGCGAGGAGATGAATGTGAGATCCAGACCAGGTGAGAAATTTCTTGATTTTTCAAGATTTACATTGACTTCAGTTCTGGGTCCTGCTGTGAGGGCAGGGGACTGGACTCAAAGACCTCTCAAGGTCCCTTCCCATTCTAGTGTTCAAGGATTCTATAATTTCTTGGGGTTCCCGCAAATGGCCTGAAATGACATGCATCTTATGAAGCCCCTCTTGTTTCTTGAACTGTTTTAGTTTCAAACCCCGATTTCAGTCCCACGTAACAGAAAACCATGAGTAACTCTGAGGCTGTTAATTGTCGAGCAGCCTGAAAACATTCCCACACACCCAATTTTCTGTCAGAAAGCAGTGTGTGAAGGGAAAGAAAACATTGTACATGGGACTGTGCCAATTTTGAAATACCATGGTCTATTCTTTTCCTTCCTGTTCTAGTCTAATCCAAATGATAGCATGGGATAGATTCTGAAAGACGAGAGCCTTACCTCTTCATTACACGGGCGTCATCTTATTGATTTCAATGAGTCATGCCAGGATGAATGGTGGTGTCAGTCTCTATTTGTGATTCACTTCAACTGAAAATAGAGACATGTCCCCCTAAATATCTAAAGAGGAACCCAGAGATTGGAGGGGGGGGCAAAATATTTATTCCTTTCAAATTGGGACTTTCACAAGGAAACCAGACACCCAATTTGGTCTCATTGAAGAGCAAGTCTCATGAAAGTAGAAGCACAGAATCCTAGAACATTAGAACTGGAAGGGAACTCGAGAGGTCATCGAGTCTAGTCTCATACCCTTCTGGCAGGACGAAGCACCATCTAGACATCCCTGATAGATGTTTATTCAACCTACTCTTTAATATCTCCAATGAAGGAGAGTCCACAACTCTCTAGGCAATTTATTCCAGTGCTTTACTACCCAATCAGAGAGCTTTTCCTAATGTCCAACCTAAACCTCCCTTGCTGCTTCTTAGTGTGGTTTGCAGTGTAGGTGGGGGCAGGAGAAAGGCCAAACATGAGGTCCTATGTCTTCAGTTTTATCCCCTGAGTTCATGAACCTGGAGTACAAAAGTCAAACACGGCAGCTGGGCAGAGCTGAACCCCCAACCAAGGTTGACCAATTCCTTTGCAATGGCCATACACGAGTTATTGAATGGTAGCTCACTTGCTTTGCAACAGCTGTACGTGGCTATTTTCCACCCGCCTGGGTGTGGGTTACTTTCCTTGCGGTTGTCTCTGGGACGCTAATATCTGGACAATTCCCCAACTCATAGTATGTTTTAGTGATAGCCCTAATACACCGCCTCATGAGCTCATATGCAGTACAGTGGTACATAGTTTGATAGAACAGTGGGGTTCAACTCTTCAGACACATTCCCATGCAGTTAGGTGGTACATCTATGACGGTAAAGAAATCTATGTTCTTGGCTGTTGTATATTGGCCAACCTTCTCGGATTATGCAGCATTCAAGCAGAGAATCTGCTAAAAGGGGATATATTACTTTAACACGCCTGCTCTGAGGGTGTGTCTATTTGAAATCACTAGCACTATTCCGAAACACCTTAGTCCGTGTCCTCACAACCGTCTTTTACTTTGAAACAGTGTCAAAATACCATCAAGTGGGAGGACTTCTTACTCTGATTCCTGTAACCCCCCTTGCACGAGGAGGAAGGGAAGTCGGGGGAAGAGAGCGATATGACATACTGGGGGTGCTGTCTGCTCTGTAACCTGGGGCTCCCCTACACTGTGATGTGTGATTCCCATTGACTCACCCACATGTGTATTGGCCCAGACACCTAGTCCTAGCCTGAGGAGATAACAAGGCTCTTTGCAGGGGGAAAGACAAAGGAAGGGAGGTGGAAGTGGCCACCTTGCTGGGTGGCAGGGCCTGGGAGCTGGGCTGTCTTTGCTGGGAAAACATGAAGAGAGGAGACTACACTGAGTACTGAGGGGGCAATGGACCCCCACTCCAAGGGGTCTAAGACTGCCTAGCCCTGACTCCTGTACCCACATAACGTCTATGCTGGGCTGTATCTTGGAGAAGCAATGAACCCCATTCTACTGGCTGGCGGAGTATCATCTTACTACGGATGGGGGTCAACGATTGGGGGGTACCCGATACGCCGTCACAGGCTCTATTTCAAAATAAGTGCTGTGTAGCCGCATGCTATTTCAAAAAAAGCTATTTCGACATAAGATATGCAATTGACATCGCTCAATTTGCATAGCTTATTTTGAGATAAGCCCTGCAATGTAGACGCACCGTAAGGATGTACCTGCACTAGCCCTCTAGTTGGAACTAGGGAGGCTAATGTAGGCATTCGAACTTGCAAATGAAGCCCGGGATTTAAATATCCCGGGCTTCATTTGCAAGTTTGAATACCTACATTAGTCACCCTAGTTCCAACTAGGGGGCTAGTGTAGACATACCCTAAGAGACTTGAATTTGGATTTTGACATTTATTGTCAACAGTGTAAATGCAGACACCACATTTCTGATCTCAGTCCTGGCTTAGACAAGTATAATATCATTAACCAAAGGTGGTTTTTTATTAATCTAATGCTAGTAGAAAAGTCGCACTTCCGCCGAGGCTAGGAACATAGGCCCAAAGGAAGCTGGTAGGACTGAGGGAAGAAATCAAACGCTTAAGATTAGTAAAGCTACTCAAGATCAACACATACAGTACATCTAGACTACAGGCTTTTGTCGACAGATACTGTCGACAAAACGTCTGTCAACAAAGAGCGTCTAGACTACATCCAGTTCTGTCAACAAAGCAAGCCGCAGTGAAGATGCAATAACGCCTTCTGTCGACAGAACTCTGTTATTCCTCGTAGAATGAGGTTTACCGCCGTCGAGAAAACTGCCGAGTTCTGTCGATGCTATGTCGACAGAACTCAGCGGCAGGGGAGATGCAGTTTTTTAGAGAAAAGTCCACTTTTGTCGACAAAAGCCTGTAGTCTAGACACACCCATAGATACCTTGGTTTGCATTGACTGGGAAAACCATACGGTGCCTTGCCTACCTGGTGTTGAGATCTCTTGACACATTGGAGGAGCCAGTGGTCATGGTGCATGTAGGTACCCACGACATTGGGAAGGATAGAGAGAGGTCCTGGAAGCTGAATTTAGGTGGCTAGGTAAGAGATTGAAATCCAGGATCTTCCCTGAGATACTTCTAGTTCAACATGCAGGGCCAGGTAGGCAGGTAGAACTTCAGGGATTCAATGGGTGGATGAGACACCGGCTTAGGAGGAAGGATTTAAATATATTAGGAACTGGGGAACTAGAGAGATAGATAGATACATGGATAGATAGATAAACTTTATTTAAAACTTTAAACTAAATACTTCTCTTTTTTTATTCTTAGGATGAAATATTCTGAGGGAGCAAATAAGACCTCCGTGACTGAGTTTGTCATCCTGGGCTTCTCTGACCACCC